CACATATAAAAAAACTTCTGATTTTTTTCCCCCCTGTTTTCACCAAGATTTGTGTTACACAAATAAGGCAAAACATCATACCTACAGTTATTCCTGGTAATTTTACCTATCCTTTTACAATTCTTAATTGTTTTCTCTCTGGATGCTCTGTCAATGCAGGCATTCATGTGAGGTTTTCTGTTTTGATATGCTAAGAACAAATTTATAACACACTAAGCCTGTACTGTGAAATTTCACGTGATATTATCTACAGCAATGCTACTGTTGAATTGCAGCAAAAGCCTTGTCAAGAAGTCATTAAAAGCACTGCCTATGCACTACAAAGAACACTAAAGAACTCCTGATCTAGTTTTAGCACAAACATGTTCTTCTAGCCTCTTAAATTGTCACTTGACAACTAATCATATTCTGACCCGAGGACTATATTTAATTAGAGGACAGAGACACAAGAACATTTGCAATATATGCATCTAGGCATTATGTCAGTAGCCATTTTTCCTACGTTACAGTATTCACAATCCTGACAACATCACTTCCTAATGCACTAATTAGAGCAGGGTGACTAAGAAAAATTATTTGCCTGGTCTGGCATACAAAATAATTTATGAAACTCATCAAATAGTCAATATATTTTTGAAAAATAAACTACTAAAATGAAGCTGTGTGTAAAGCAAGAAACAATGGAAGTTATGTAAAACAATTTATTTTAAAATATAAGTAGAGTGAAAATTATCCAGCTAGATAGTCTTGATTATACGGTCTCTACTTCTTGCACATTTCTTAATTTTGAAAAATCAGCAATTACTGTAAAGTATTTGAGAGAGATGAATGTTTCTGTTTCTTCTGGGTTTTGCATTACCTGAATCAATACTCTGTGGAACCAAAAGATTTATTTACATCAGCTGGGAATCTGTTCCATAGGACAAAAATTTGCATCTAGGAATTTGTCTAGCATGATAAATTGTCTGACAACCACCGTTCAGCATTTCGAGCTTCCTAAATTGAATTGTATACATATATTTATGCATATATATAGTATAGAGTCAGCAGAGCAGTTTAGAGTTCCTGAAATATTATGAAACACCAGATTTTATTTCCTATCTATCATCCTGATTCAATGGCTATTTAATTCTAATACGGTCCAGTGTATCTCAATATTAAATACCAGCCCTGGTAGAGTTATTCAGAAGTCACAGGGAATCTGCACTAATGAAGAGCCATCTTCAGGGATCTTTCTGAAAAGAGTTCTAATGCTTTGTAATTTAAATTCTACTGTTGTAGGCAACAATGGGTACCCTGCTCAGCTAAATGATTACACTGTGGCAAATGTAAGGCAGCTCACTGATCCGGGCAGGAAAAGCTAAAGCTTAACTTGGTACTATACATGGAAACCTAATAACAGCTTTTATGCCTTTTTAGGGACTGACTTTTAGGATATGGATGAGGAAAGGAGAATAAGATTTTTGGCAGAAAGAGCAGCGTGGTCACAGTTCTGGCTAAGAAGCAAGATTTAGTTGTTTTCATATTCCCAAGACAGCTACTGAAGTTACGAGACCATTGCCCTGGCTTTAATTCATCTTTGTTAGCTACTCATATTTTCTCCTCTCGATCCCAGGCAGGTTCCTTATGGTGCTGCTGCTGTTTGCAGTGTGAGGATGAGGTGACCCTGCATGGCTGGTCACTGCACAGCCAGGACAAGGCACAGGGCAGTGGCTCGCTGCTGCCTCGCTGGCCACTCACACCCGGCGTGGGCTCCTAAACCAGAGCTCTTTTCTTACAACCTCCCTTGAAATCTTCAGCAGAAATAAATCTGTTGCTCACCAGAGAGAGGCTTTACTTAGCTTGCTTCATAATCCCCTGATTTCAGTTCTGATAAGGCCCTAATTGTTGGCAGGTTTATTAACCTTAATCTGCTCGATCTACCTCCCATAGCCTCCTTGAATGGCAATTTACAGCATTTTACTTCAACTGGTAGAAGCTCTAGGAAGAAATCTGTCTTCTTTTGACTTCTTGCATAAATATGGACTTCAAGGAGATGGCTCTGGTATTTGTATCAAATTATTCACAAACTAAAACTTGCTGTTTCTAGGGACTGCTTGTTGAAGAAAAAAACTCTTCCACTCATCTTTTTATTTTTAAAAAGGCAAAACTTTTTTTTTTTCCTTTTTGCATAAAGGACTTTCAAAGATATACTCCAAAAATGCTTGTTCCAAATAAATCCCCTTAGAAAGATAAAATGCAGACCCTTCTGGGTTGCTGCAAGATAGAAAAGAATCTCAGCACCCATTTGTAACTCTTCTCATCATCAATCATCTCACCACAGTCAGAGAATAAAGGACTACACAAACCAATCAAAAAACCCCAAACAGGTGTGCATGACAAACTTTAACTAAAGCTTTGAAAACAAAATTTACTACTTGTAATTCATGCTTATAACTTAAAATATGACAGTTAAAGTACCCTTAGAGATTTGCTTCAAAAAACACAAGACAGAAGACAACGAACCAGCAAGAGCTATGCTAATCAAATGAAGATATTTAAGAGTAAATAATTCAAAAGGTATTAAGCAGATGAAGGAAGGTTGAACATGATGATGTTTCTGTTGAGCTGGTATCACACAGCTCTGTGTAACAAAACATAAGAGATATAAAAGATATAAAAGGAAAAATATAAAATATTATTATATAAATTATTATATTATATAAAATATAAAAGGAAATCAAGACCTACCTGCATGTACTATTTATGACTAATGATGAGTGCCAAGATGAAAGAAAAAAATGAAATGCATTTGATGGCTTTTTTAGTTCTGTGTCTATGTACTTTATGGAAAATTAGGAACCAGAAGGTTCTGCTAAAGGGGCAAGTGAGGAAATGAAGCATCTAATGGAATACAGGAAAAACTTTGTTTCAGTAAAACACTGCAATTATTGGGGAACTTCTAGGACAAAGAAATGAAGAAATGAACCAGGATCTCATACTGAGAAAGCATACATTAAATTCTTAAATTTTGATACTGTGGTTCAAATGTGTCTGCTGTTATCCAGGTCTCAAAACCAAAATTCAAAAGTACAATTCAAGGTACAATTCAAAGGTATTTTCTATTGAATATATAATAATATAAAATAAGCCCCCAGTTTTCCAAACTACAAGGTCTACAGAGCTGTGTGGCAATAAAAATTACTAATAAAATTTAAAATAAACCTTCATGCAGTTTCAAGAAGCCAGAGCTGGGGATCTCAACCTCAGGGTTTTATATTTCAAAGTGTCTTCATGTTCAAATTCATAAATACTTTAAAGTAAAGAGAGATTCTTCGAAGTTAGGAGATGTTTTAATTCTAATTCACCTTCTCTGTATACACACAGATTTTATTTTAACTGAAATACTATATTTTCTTGTGGCTGGAAATGATGGATAGTGTGAGCTTAAATTAGGAATGTATAGTTATACTACTTCTCCGTTGGTCTTATCCAATTCCTTGAAAATTTGAGATATGATTTCACACACGAAGATGAAATCTGTTGGAAACCCAAACCTGAATTTTCTGTACAGAATAGGAAAACACCTGTAACAATCCCCATCTGAAATTGTCAAAATAACATTACTTAAATCTGTATGGCATAGGTAAATATTCCTTTTTTTTCCCCCCCTTAATACACAGAAAATAGATAAGATTAAGGAAACCACAACCTTGTAGTTTGAGGAAAAAAAAAAAGAAAAAAAAAAAGAAGTGTTACAGAAAATTAGACAAAGATGAAAATAGAATGATAATTTTAAGGAGACGAAAGCAACTCCTGGTAAGGAAGATACACTAGGTATTTGCCATGTTCTCATATGAGCTGTGGGTTCTAGCACAGGACTTCTGAGGAGAAATAAAGGGGCAGAGAATATTTGTAGAATGTGAGAAAAATCTTTGCCAGAGCATGTTTGAGCATTAGTAGCTGTGATAACAGAATACAGACAGGAGTTCTTGTTGTGTTTTCACCCCCTCAAGACAAAGAGAAGTTGCAATTTTCGAAATGACCTAGAGAAGTATGTACCAAAGACAAAGAGAATGACCAAAAGTTTTTCAGATGGCATTTCAAATAAAAACCTGAATAAATGACAAAACCTGAAATTATAATTTCTGCAGCTGGAGACATGACATGGAGGAATGTTTACCTCAAGGAGGACTTTTGTTATTGTGATATAATAACAAATTACACAGAAACAATGAAAACTATAAGAATGGTCTAAACTAGGAAGAAGGAACAAGATCTCAGGCTGCTGCTTCCCCCTCCTCCAGACTTTCTGAATGAAAGTATGGAAAGCACAGCAATAGTGCTCTTTTTATTCTTTTATTTGCACATGGACCACCTCAGCCTGCAGCACCAGATTTCATGAGTGCTCTGAAAACCTGCCCAAGCCTTTTGTCCAGGGAATGCTCAGCAGAAAAAACTACCTGTATTAAATACATGTATTCTTATTGGACACACATGTTAATCTTCAGTTCTCAGTGAGCTTCTGCTGGTCATAACCAAACCAATGCTGCTCAAGCTTTAGCTTGTCAAGGGCAGTTGAATTTTTCCCCCATGGCACAAACTAGGATAACACAACAGTGATATATTTGCAATCAGAGCCAAGCCTTAACCAGACATCAGCCACTTGTTTCACAGCATGTAACAGAGTCAAATCATTGCATAACATTTCTGAAATTTTCATTTTCTAATTATTTAAGTATGCTTGCTTGAATTTCACAAAACAAATTGCCTGCGGGAGATGCTTTAGGAAAGCTTAGTCTGAACAGTTAAGCCTTAGATATGTAAATGCAATTAAAAACAGGAGGAGAGAACCTCTCCATTAGTGGCCTGCCAGAGAAGATTCCAGTAACTGTGAAATTTGTTTGTACTGTAACAGACTGATTTTTAAATCACAGACTCATGTGGAATGGTTGATGCAGAGGGCACACCTGGAGATCAGGTTGCTCAGGGCTGGGGCCAGTTGGGTTTTGGATGTCCCTGAGGATGGAGACCCCAATAGTTTACCTGTTGACCTGTCCCTGGGCACCAGTGAGACGAGTGTGGCTGTATCTCCTCCATTCCCTGCCATCAGGTACATCACAGGCACTGTGACAGCATGAGGCAGCAGAAGATTCAAGTTGTATCAAGAGAATCAGGTATTACAGAAAAGAAATACCTGTGAGGGTGGAAGACACGGGGAGCAGTGTCCAGAGCAGCCACAGAGTCTCTGTATCACAGTGAACACAGCCTTAGCAACCTGGCCTTGGCCTGCTTTGAGCAGGGGCTGGGCCAGATGAACCAGAGGTCCTGTCCCTCCTCATTTATTCCATGATTCTCAGTCCATTTTAAGGAAGGAAACTATTAATTTTTGTTATCTTCCCAGTGTGATCATTTACAAGACTGGCAGCCATAATCCCAAAGTCCCAGACTGTCACTGCTGGGACTGAGCCACAGGGGTGGCTCCAGGTCCCCACTGGACTCCCTGCACACTCACTCACTCACACCAGGTTTCCTCACCAGCTCCATCCCCATGGCACTCTCAGGAGTCTGGTTTTGAGGAAGACCCCCTAGGATTTTATCCCTTCACAGTGTAAGCACACCCACGTCTTGCTCTTCCTCCCCAGCCATGTGCCTCAGTGTCCCTCAGCTGGCTGTGCCACAGCTCCCTGTGCCCTTTGCTGTGCAAGGGGTGGTGTTCACAGCCTCTTGTCTCAGGTTCCACCCAGAGGTGAACCTGCAGCTCCATCTGCAGCTGCACCCTGAGTTCCCTGCACCAGATGTGTTCCTCATCAACTTTAGAGCACGTGCCTGAATGTGCAAAGTGGGCAAGAATAAATGATATTTTCTTTCTAACATTTCATTTAAGCACCTGAATTAGCATGTTCTGCTGCTTCTGAATTATCATGCTGCAATTTAGGTTGCACTGTTTTGTCAAAATATTCTATTGTCTAGACTTCCTGCCTTCTGGATTTGGGGACTACCTTAAAACCACATTAACTAAAAACTAAGCTGGTGTTCTCTTCTTAGTTCTTCCTTTTTTATTTGATTCTTTTCTTTCCCCCAAATTTTGTTTTAAACTAATCATGGCAATGTTTTTGATGATATGTTCCTGATGGTACCTTCATTGCCAAAGTGATCATTTCAACCATGCAAGGAATTTTAACTAGAATAATTTATCACAGGATAACAAAATCTCTCATCCTATGTTCCTCATTGTGTGTGGCTGGGCTCCTTTTCTAAAGTATTTTTTCAGGCTCAAAGTAGATAATTGTTCAAGGGAATCAGAACTGTCTGTATTTTGATGTTTTGACAAGCTATTTTAATGTTACTGTCATACATGTCTTATGTAATTACAAGATCTTTTCAAAACAAGGATATTTATTTACTGATTATTTCACTTATGTGTCATTGTTGATTTCTGTAAGTTATTATCTTATGTTATTATTTATTATGTTCTATTTTTGTTACTTATATGGGCTTCAAAATAACTGGGAGCTGGGGAAACTTTTGTGTAAACAATATTGTGCATTTATTCCAACTCATTATACACAATGATACAATTCTTTGTTGCAGAGCTCAAGGCAAATTTCCAAGAATGGCTCATTGACTAAAATCTGACAGCAAAGAAACCTAGTCATCAAATTAGAATATAAAACATTAACTCCTGTTTCCCAAAGGAAAAAACGGTATAACTAATTGTGAAAAGCACAATATTGCATCAATACAACATTTGTGTCTGTGCTGTGTACAGATACAAATCAACAGAGATCTGAATTCTCATAATCATTTTACCCACTTGTGGCATTCAATCTATTGAGTTATGGTGAGGAGGAAATGCAGCTCTGCAGTTCCATGAAGAGCAGGGAAGAAATAGCAGCTGTGTGAGAAATCCTCCTTCCTGTCTCTCAGCTGTAAATGTTAGCACTGGCGCACAAATAGCCACTAAGAACAACATTTGTTTTAGACAAGGGCACTATCCTGACTCTGCCTGTGATGCAGAAACAGGACAGAATCTTCCCTCTGATTGCTTCCAGTTCTTGACTGCCAACAAAAGCAGACCATGGGGCAGCTGGTATGGCTGGTTAGTAAAAAAAAAAGGGACAATTTAAGAGGGAGTTTACAGAGATCCACTGCACACCCTCATATTTGCCAGCCCAAGTAAGCCAGCATTAACCCTTTAATCTTTCCTAAGCATTTTTGTCTGGTTTCCTTTAAGTAAACAAGTTACATGTATCTCCACTGCAATTTGAAATTGCCTGTATGTCTGATTCAGATAAATTTCAGAGAGGAATAGGAATTCCAAGAGATAGCCATTAAAATAAGCAGTGGGCTAGAGGTAGTATCAAAGAAAGGCAAGGAAACCTCATCACACATTTACAAACAAAGGAGAACCCCTTTGTTTGCAAAACAAGTTTTCACATTCCTCAAAAAAACCCAAAAAACCCACGGAAATACACATAGGGCAATATTCATAATTCATTATTAGCTGAAAATATTGAATACTATTAGTGATCTCTAATACTCAACACTCATGATGAGCAGCCTATGTCTAAAAATTTTATCTGTCTTTTGAGGCCATTCTTTGTACCCTTTGGAAAGATTTTTCTCTAGGGTACTAGATTTTGACTAATGTAAAGGGTTAAAGAATAAGTTTAATATCTGAGAGCAGGATGTTCAGACTAGAACATGCTCAACTTTATTCTCCTATTGAAATTCACCTGAATTTGCATGTGAATGGGAAAGAAGATATGATTTTGGTGAATAGTTTGCATGGTAAATAATAACATGCATTTTATAACACAACAGTTTTTGAGGATTCTGAAGCAATTTAAAAGCATCTTGAGACTCAACATATTGCTATACAAAAAAGAACTAGGAATTAATGTTGACCCACTGATATCCCACTGTTCTCTCTTAGTCTCTTAATTCCATTTTTCTGCAAAGCATAGTTATATTACTTAGTGCACTTCAGTGTTTTAGTCCTTAAACTTATATAAGGCCCTACCCAACTTAGTAATAATAAGTGTGGGCTATAAAAATTAAATATATCATTCTGATCTGATTGAAGACCAGCAGGCTTCTGTAGGATTTGCTACAGAAAGTGGGAATTTGTACTAGAAGAAGCTGATCAGAGATGGACGTGGGTGAGCCCCCAGGTAACTATTGAGTGTGGTGGCAGGAAAACCTGATAGAATAAAATCAGAAGCAATCAAACAGCTATTTTGAAGCAAACAGGATGAAGAGTGTTGGGAGCACATGTATATATCTGCCAGGGATGGAGGGGAAGTGGTGGTGAATGCAATTAACACACTTGAAAACAGACTGGAAAAAGCCAAGACTAACTTTCTCAACTCTGTAAGAGTCAAACTGGTTGCAGCTGTACTGGAAGAAAAACCCCATCAACAAAAAAAAACAACAACCAAAAAACTAATGCAAATGTGTAAAACCTGTTTGTAAGCCTGAGCCTGAGAACCATGTGTTGAAGTATCACTGTGAATTTGAAACTTTATTATGGATAGAAGATAGAATGAGAAAATTAGATTACTCTTTTAAAACATATTGAAGTACAAGGAATTACATCTCATACATTTTGAGAGACACTCTTTGGTTACCTCATTTATTCATTCTTGCTAGTTCACCATATCCCCCTTCCTGCTTGACTATCTGGGGACCTGTTCAGATTTCACATTGAAGGATCAGTTCACAGCAATGAAATACCACTGCCTCTTGGGGGGAGGATGACATCTGTTAAATAGCACCCCACAACACTACACAACAGTTTATAGCATCAAATGCAGAACAATTATGAATTTAATTAGAATCAAAGTGAGATTTTAATGAGAAAAATGCAATTATGCATGATGAAAATATAGGGCTAAGCTCCTTTATTCTCATCCTGAGTTCCCTTACTACATAAGTATTTCCAAGGATTTTACAACCAGCAAGGGGGTATGACCTGCCCCATAGCAGTTAAGGACCCAACCTCTCATTTTACAGAAAATAACTGTGTTCTCTTTGTGCTACCAGCATGTTACAGAGATTAACAAGCTTCACACTCAAATATCAGCTTGAGCAGATCTTTCACATATTTTCCCCCTCTGATACTGCATGTACCTATTCCTCACATATATAAATGTTTAGTTGAATGGGCTACATCTCATCAGCAAAATGGAACATGGATTTGAATATAAAATGATAAATGGTGTTGGCTTGGGACCTGACTAATACTCTAAAACACCATAGATCAGCCAGATCTCTGAGTGCCTGTGACACAGGTCTACAGGAGGGAGAGGTTTAATGCCTGTACACAAAATAATAATAACTAGCTGTAGGAGAGGGAAATAAATTAATTTTATTTTCTCCTATACTGCTGTAGGTGATTGCCTGCATAACTGCTTGTGAATAACTATGAATCATTGTAATATTATGACAATTGTTTTTAAAGTTGACAACAGAGAAATAATGGTATTGCCATATTGATAAATATTACTTTATCTAATTGCAAGCTGGCATTAAAATCTAATTGGAAACAGTTTGAACCAAGATATAAGAAGGATTTTTACGTGTGACTGAGAAACTTTTTATCAAGCATTGTAAAAGCACATAAAAGGGAAAAGGTCTATCTTAATTTAATGTAACAGAAAACCTCTGTCATATGTCAATGGCATAGAAAATATCCATCTAAACAAGATGTTAAGTCTTGGGTAACCTGAGCTACTTTCCTTCTTCAGAAATGCACCTTCAATATATTAGGTCTACTTATTACAATAGAACTCCCAGCACAAGGAGCAGTAGGAGGAAAATAAAATGTAGGAAACTTGGATAAACTCTGGGAGGCAATATTTTAAATATATATATATATATATATATATATAGACCAAAGCTAAGTAACAAGGCTAGAAAATTGCAGTGCACTAAGGTGGCCATTTTGTCTATTTCATGGGTTTTTTTGCAGCAAACTTAGAATAAGAAATGTTTCCATGAAGAAAAACATGTAACTCTGTAAGGCTCTGGAACAGTGCATTGGCATTAACTTCCCAAAGGCTGAAAAGCAGCTGCCCAACCATTCCCTCTAACTGCAGGAATGCTTGGCAATTACAAAAGAAGAATGATGATTACCACTCTTCCTCCTCCTTGGAAAAAGGATAGACCAGCCAAAGGGCAACAATATTTTTAAATGTTATGCCACACTTTCCTCTCATGGATCGTACCCATGATTTAATCTGTAGTACTCAAACATTCCAATGTAACTCTAAAATATCATTTTATGGAATTGGAAATGCCTAGATGCATTGTAATGCACACTTGGTCAGGGTTGTCATGGATTTCGTGTTAAAATTAATACATGGAAAAATCATAAACTATAAAAAATGAATACAGACAGCTGTTTATCACTTTAATATTTGCCTGTCAGTGAGTAAAAGTGAGATTTGCATAATGATATCCACAGCTTCCTCTATGATGTTAAGCTTTTCAGTTTTTCTTTCTCAGGCTATAGGAAGATTTGCCTGGAATAATATTTGCTTGTTTTTCTTAAATTTATTTTGGTTATGGTCAGGGGGTAAATTCAATATTAACCCCCCCTCATAAAGACCTGTTATGATAGTTCATGTTAAAATGCTAAACAATAAAGAGGACAATAAATAATGTCAACCTTTTCAAGCACAGGTTGTTTTGATCCTTATTGTGATAACAAAAAATATAAACAAATGTAGATTGTCCTACATTTCAACAAACAGTTGCCTACATTTCAACAAACAGTTGAATTATTGGAATTCAACAGTGGAATTATTTCAAGTTACAGGAATCTGAACACACTTGACTTAGCCCTCTGGATTGAAGTTAAATTTTCTATATAGTATCATACAAAAATAAATACATGTCCAAGCAGTCTGATGATAGGATATATATGTTTTATGAAAAAGGAAATAAAATGTGCAAGGCAGTCTCTTTTAGCTCTTAGTGAAAGCTGGACTCTACAGCAGTGTTGCTGCTTGGCTGGTGTACCCGCCAACCTAAATTTTATTTCCTCCTAATGTTTCCCAAAATAGTATCTCTTAGAGCAAACTGATCTAGCTTCCTCTCCTCCACCTAAGAGTTATAAAATGCTCATCCTATCTTACAGAAAAGCTAGAAATGCCATGAGCCAATCCAGCACAAGCAAAACTAAAATATATCCATTTCTGATGTTGGATAATACAGACTTTCCCTAGCTGCTGTGGTTTTTCTTACACATAAATATACAAATAAATTCTTACTGAGTTAATAGTATTTTTTGTAGAACACTGAATGTGACATGGCCATGTGCTTTTCCTGAAGGGGAATGAAACTCAACCACATTCTAAAAAATTTAGCACCAAGTAACTTCTGGGAAAAGATGAATTAATGTTAGATCAGTCTGGCAGCCTGCAGACATTAATTGTCTGTGTTAAGTTATCCACATGGCTTCAATTTTTGTCCTGTCAATGTGTAAGCCTGGATGAATAAAATAAGATTATTCACCTCATTCAAACCACTCCTTACTTTATATATGTGAGACTGCAAAATATTACTTTTTTTTTTTTTTTTTTTTTTTTTTTTTTCTGAGATTCAGTAAAAATTCTCCTAGCCCCACATTCTTTCCTTTGAATTTCTGGAAGACACCCTGCATAATTTCCTCTTCCTGAAATTTCCAGGACAATTTTCCAGAAGCAGGAAACCAGAAAACAGTGCTGTCTGATGAACCTCAGGTGTATACAAGCTTTCAGGCCTTCAATGTTCATTCATCACTGGTTTCAAAGGATCCTTGCCTGGAGAGAGCACAGGCAGGGCAGTCAGCCTTAAAAACCAAGGGAAAGAAAGGGAGAATTATCCATAATACTGACAAAATACTCCTTGGGGAATGCTAGGGAAGCAACCTGTACATAATGACCGTGAGTTAACGGTGAAGAAAAGGAGGAGTAAAATTTCTTTAGAGGAGAAGACAACTACAGCAATTCCAAACATACAAAGCACTCCTTTTGGTGATAAGGAAAAAAAGTGATAAAAGAAACTGTATGCTGTATTTTGGCAAGCTCCCTAAAGTCACTAGCTCCTGAACATTCAATTACTATGCTTATTCTTAGTGCCAGATAGCACTCATCTGAAAAGAAAGGCTAAGGAAAAACAAAAGGAAAGAATTTTGGCACTGAGACTCTCCAAACGTGAGAATTACAGCAAAGAAAATTAAGCACTTGGATTAAGTTTTTGCATTAAGGCCACTGTCGTTGCATTTGAATGTGAAGCGAAATCAAAGTCAGAAGATTTGTTATGGGTCAGCAAGAAGAAAGGAAAGGAGGTGGGAGTAGGGCTTTGTGCCAAGAACATTTTTAAATGTATGATCCTCTTTCTAAGAACATGGGTTATTAACAAAAGGCAAAGAAAGGCATGGTTTAAACAACATAATGATTTTAGAGGAAATCCTACAAATACAGATAATTATATACTTGATTTAGTTCTTGAAGCTGCAATTTTAGTAGTTTTATTATTCTAAAGTACAATACATCATCAGATACTTTCCACAGTATAGTCATTTAATGTCTCCAAATTATAGTCTGCAAGCCCGAACTGGGGATTTGGTCTAAGTAACAGAGAGGAAACTGCAGGAAATGTTGTGATGGATGTCAAGTCTTACAAGATTCACTTTGCTAAACTAGAGTGCACCAAGAGAGATGTTGTTACAGTTCTAAAAGTTTAATCTGTCCACCTCCTACTGTTTGGATGTGAACAACCTTTTGAATTTTATGATAATAATAGGATTGATTTTTTTTTTTTCCTCCCTTTGCTTTTCTCCCTTTCTCTCCTCTTTTTTTTCTTTAACAAAGCCTGGGAACCAGCTGGATGGCATGTTATTTTCTTAGAAATGGAGTTGGCCGAAGATTCAATAAAGACCTGGTGGAATGCTTTAATCAGGTGAGCTTGGGCCTCCAGTTACAGAGGGGCTAATATTTCTAGTTGTTCTTATAGCTCAGCATCCTTTATTAGGAATTTCTCACTATGTCATGCTAGTCTTAAAGTTAGTATTTGGCTGCAGGCTGAATCATGCCCACATCTCAGTCTCTCTAAATAATGCACAACCCATGTATTATCAGCCCAGAAATGTCACCATGTTTGTAAGAGACAAAGGTTTACTTGACAGAGAACGTGTTGCCTTTAAAGAGGGCCAAGGACAGAGTCAGGAGCTACTGCACACTCACCCAGGATGAAACAAGACCTTCAGAGAAAAGGTAATGAACCAAGATTTCTGTCACACAAAGAAATCTCTGGCACAGAAACAATAAATGAACACAAACACAAAAACAGAAAGCTTCTCTCAAAAATACACATGGCTTCTGATGACAAAAACAATGCAGGAAGGAAGAGTTTGCTCTTGCCAGAAGCAGGAGGCTGCAATACCTGATCAGGAGATTTCTGCAAACCCACAAGGATCTAAATATGTTTCTCTTCTTCCTCTTTCATAAAAATTGCCCGCAATTTTAAAAGGTTTCTAACTCAAATGCAGAAACAGAATTCTTCCACATCCACCCCAAAACCCCCACCAAATTGTTGAATCCAGCAAAGTGGCAGTTAAACAAAGATGTTGAATGAGAAACCTGGAAAGGGAAGATGAAGAAAACTGCCCTGGAAATAGAAAGAATCCCAGTTCTTATATAGCAAGTAGAGGCAAACAGCTTGAGTCCCTTCTGCTCACTGCAGTAGGAATGTCACACCAAGCACTAATGACTGCTCTGCACTACAAGAGAATGTCTCTGGGATGTTGCATTTCAAGTGTCAACTACAGCACTGCAGACAGTCAGGCTTTGCCCTCAAAATATAAAATTGCTGGTACAAGTACTGTGTTTGAAATGTTCCCTGTGAAGAAAAATGAAAGGCAGCTATTTACATCCATGACTTTTCACCTGTTAATATCCCATCATATAATTTGCTTGCTCATCATTGGCTTGTGCTGAAGCCACTAGGAGCTTGTGGATGAGATCGTGCTGGAGCAAGCACAGTGCAAAACGACCACAGACCGTGGAGAACCCATCCAAGATTGCAGGAAGAATGGGAAATGAGGGGTGGGCAGAGAGAAATCACAGCCCACTGCCTGGACTGCTTGTAGACTCAGTGGAGGGACTGAGAGTAATGTATCTATAGCAAGGTTGAGAAGTAATGGAGTAGATACTAGAAAGGAGGAAGGAAAAGTGTCTAGAGTAAAGTGGATGCTGTAAATGTGGGAAGAAGGGTGTTTCAGTATTTATCTCCTTTGTTTCCCAATACTGGAATAGCTAATAAAATACTTATGCTAATTGGCAAAAACAATTAAGTTAAATTCCCCAACTCAAATCAGTTTTGGCTGCTGGAGTACTTTGTAGGTGATTTCTTAGTCTGTATTTCGACTCATGAGTTTTCCTGCTCCCATTCCTCTTACTTTGTCCCATGTCCCTCTGGGAAGCACAGTGAGTGACTGGCTGCATGGGTGCTTATCACTAGCTGGGGAAAATCCACCCTGGGTATCAGCCATGGGCCTGTGCTGTAGCCCAAAATGTCAGCTGGCTGCTTCATCTTTTCCTTGAGCTCAAATGCTTCCATCACTCTGCTAAGGAGGCACCTGAACTGCTCCAGCAACTTGCCCTTACAGGAGGAGAAAGAAGTCACATATTTAAGAATAAGGGAAGTTTTCACAAGTAAATCTTTGCTGTATTAATTTAACACCAATAATTTCAACAATCCTCTTATACTACTCGAAGTCAAAATCCCAGTTAACTTGTTTTATCCTTTTGCTGTCATTGCAAGAGATTTTGTTTGAATAATGTGGCGTTTTCACTCCAGCCAAGCATTTCATTTGGTTTTATCCTGCTGAAAAGCTAAATTCTGTGTTTCTGACAATTATCTGGCTGTTAAAATGACTGCTGCAGATTGAACACTGAAAGACTGCAAAGTGGAATTTAAGAGATAAACAGGAAGACCAGAAGTAAGCAGGGTTCAAACCATGAAAACCTTCAAAAGCTAGTAAATATAGGGGGGATAAAAAGTGTCTGTGACTTCAAACTTAGCTTGAAAGCCAGTAAATTTTAGAAAGGAGAATGTTAGAAGAAAAGAGCCTTGGGTAAGTGTGAGCTGAACAAAGTAACCAAAGTAATAACAACTCATTTTAGTTTTAGGAGTGGGTATTATTGATGGCTCTTTCAGATTCTTTGCCAGAGTCTACAAACTCCCAAAGGTGGCAGTTTAATAGCATAAAAAAATATCCTCAACTCTTCCTCTTGTGTTGCTGGGTAGAAACTGAGAAAACATATTCATTCATTTTTTAAAAGCAGCACTTGGTTCTTGGTTGGCAAAAAGGAGAGAAATTACAACAGCCATTTTCAGAATATCTGCCACATTCTGACAGATCAAGTTTTCCAGGAAAATATTATGATTATTTAAATGTTTTCTGGAATTTCTGACCTCATTACAGACAATAAACTTATTCACCAGCCACATTGAAATTTGGCTGTATTAAATTTCCAGTCTTTTGATTTTAGCACATGATTGCACTGTAGAGGCTCTAGAAATAATCTTTTTTACGTTCTTATTCGGTGTTCTGCCCTTATGACACTAAATAATCTTAGCCTGTACAGTTAGTTCACATTAAATGAAGCCAGTTTCACTGAGACTGGGGACACCAGTAATTCAATAAAAATGAGTGATTATCTTCACCAACCCAATGCCCCAGTGCTCAGAACAATGAAGTTAAATAATGATGACCCAGTAGGGGACTGTAGGGTGCTGAAATACACTTTTTTTTTAAATCAGCATTTTTTGTTCCATTGAGAGATGGAAGCATTGGTCTCAGCCAAACTACATCCCACAAACCAAAGCTTTTATTTGTCATTTTTTAAAATTTGAGAAAGCAGAGACACAAATACCTATCCCTCAACAGTCAGCCTGCTATGCTCCACAAAGCATAACAGAATGAAAATTTCAAGAATGAAAGAAGGGCAGGGCTGGCTCAGAGCAATTACATTTCACTGCTAGAGGAGAATTCCCAAATTTTCAGAGGACTGTGTGGGAAGCTGCTTTTAAAACCAGTTCAACACTGTCCAAGTCCACAAGACGTAAACTAATTTCTTTTGCAGCTTTCTCACCATTAAGTGTTTGTCATAACATATTTGGGTGACATCTGCATTGTTGAGCCTTAAAGCAAAAAATCTACATCCCAACACTAATCTCATGGATTGTGAGGACTAAGAGCTCAATCTGTTTGACACAGCAGGGAAAAAAATAATCAAAACAGCTCAGATTACAGTCTATCAAATTTTCTAAACTAAGAAACTGCATTTGAAATGTATTACTAATCACATCTACTTTTATTAAACTAGAAATCCTGTAGGCACTGGAGGCAGTGGTATGTGAAGTTTTAAAATCTGCTCAGAGATTGATGGGGAAAGCAATACTCAGAAAACCAAGAAATTTTAGCTTAAATTATGCAACAGTAATTTAACTGAACAGAGCTATCAAACCTTCAATTTTACATAGAAATTTAATGCTACTAAGTTCTGTGGTTTTTATTTTCAAGGATAACAAATTATAAAAATATATGAACTTAGAATACTAATTATACTTTGAAAAGTTTTCTCTTTATTTTATTCAAAAGTGAAAGGAAATTCTACTAAGACTCCACAGACATCTGTGCTGGATGCAAATTTTTGCTCTACTTTCCATTAAAATTGAGAGATTTCTGGATATCCCTAGGTCACAAGCACTCTGGATAACTGAAATCAATAAGGTGCAATTCAACATTAGCAAATTCATGAAGTACTATTCTTAGGAAAGACAAAATTAAATGCACAAATACAAAAGGATTAAAACGAGAATAGGGAATATTCTTGCAGAAAAAAGTCTGGATAAATGGCAGATCCATTAGGAACCCTCAATGCAATGTTTGGGGAAGGGAGTGAAGCAGTTCTGTTAGGTCATATTGATAGGAGCTGAGGTCTGGGCAACGTGCTGAGGTGGTGATTCCATTGGTGAGACCTCAGCAAGAGAACTGTGTGAGTTTCTGGCATTCCATCAGGAAAGATGGAAAAAGTCAGACCAGAGAACAGCAATAAGAATGCTAAATTGTTTAGAAAACACGAAAGACTGAGGTGGTTTAGTCTAGAAAACAGTATATTTAGAGGAAAAGTGAAACAGTTCTGAAATAACTAAAATGGTTTTCCATATGGACAAGGAGAAAGTTAGGAAGCAATTGACTTGATCTGCACATAGGTAGGAGATCTCACTCTTTAGCTTTAAAAGACAACTATGTCCATAGTCAAGAAAGGGTTGACTATTGTCAAGAAAGGGTTTTGAGAATCTTTGAAGAGTTTAGGACTTAAAGTTAGTGCTGATATCAAGATATAAGATAAGAGCATTGTTACTGACTGGTCTTGACCACTGAATTTCTGAGCTCTCAATATCTAGCACTGCTTTCCCTTAATTCTTCCCTAATTAAATGAATAGCTGTATTTTTTGCACTGGTCTCACTCATTTCTTTGTGGAAAAAAGCATGATCTGATTCCTAGGAATAGATATTCCTGAGTGTTGGCTTCCAAGTCTGCACTGAGTTTGGAGAGGTTGGAGATGCTGTTTCAGAATCCAGTCCTGAGCTTTGTTACCCAGCACAAAGGCAAAACTATTCCACTCTCCTCCTCACAGCTGCAAACAAGACCCAAATTCAGCCCTCTCAACACTAAGTAATTGGCTGTGAATTCAGATGAGGAAGTGGCTTTCTCACAAGGGTCTGATTCTGGCAAAACCACCTTCCTGCTTCTCCAGATTTATTTTTTTTAATTTCAAATTTTTTTTCCCTCAGGGAAATTCATAAAAAAAACCACTGAATTATGTAAAGGCCTCGTGGAAGTGTTTAACTACAAATCATAAAACCCAAAATAGAAAAAAATGAAAAAGGGAAAAATCTCCTCCAACATAATACGAAGCATGTGCTGGGATTCAGGTGTGATTTTCTTTCTTTAATAACATAAAAATGTTGTTGGCACATGCATGAACAAATCATAGGTAAATTGCTGTTAATAATGAAATGCTCTGTACAAAAGTACAATGGTTCCAGTAAATGTCAGAACACATCTGCTCTAATTAAAAATTAACCATATCATTAAAGTTATATTACTAGTTAATTTCTGAAAATGTTTAATTATTGGGCAGTTTTATCCCTCCAGCTTCCAGGGAAGAATTAGAAATATTACACTTCTGTGTTTAAATCTTCCTCTGCCAAGCACTTTAAAGTTTTAGGATGCATGTATTTTAAGGTATTTGGGAGATATAAGGGCTTTGATTAGTACACTATAAAGTCAATAAACCTTGTGTCATGGCAGATTTTACCCACTCCTTGGAAGTGTCTTGAAACAGATTCCTTTTTCTCCCACTTCCTATAGGAGCTGAGAATAAGGGAAAGATGCCTCTTGTAACAGCAGCAAATCTGGCCCAGAGCCTTTCTCAAGAGGAGCCTTGTTTTTGGCTTCATCCTCCTCCACATCATGTGTCAGCTCTGGCACCAGCTCAGCGTGACAAGCAACTTCTAAGTGAGAAATTATTAACACAGCCAGACTAACCTGAATTTAGCCCTATTACCTGATCTTAGATTTAAGATTTAAGTTACATGAGGTTTCAGTTTGTTGTAACTGCCTGAAGTTTAACTTGAGTGATCCTCAGATCTGCAAGGCCCAAAGCCAGAAGCATTAGGGCAAGAACTTCAGGGTGTCTCTGTGAGCTCTGCTGTCTGATCTCCTATAAACATTCCTCTAATAGCTCTCCAATCCATGACATGGGGTTTTTTTCCAAAAGACTTCCACATCAGCAGATGCAATATGATCATTGTATAGAGTCAGAGCAACATTAATCCAAGTCAATCAAGGCCTTTTACAGCCAGCCAGGTATTATAATAAAATTTTACTTGGCTATCTGTACAAATACATTCAAGCAGTTAATTGCCTAATTTAATGCACATAGTAAACAGACATTACTTGCAACTGACAGCACCAGGTGGACTGAACATTTCTCATTCAAACCAGACATTTAGCATGAAGCTGAAATACAGAAATAAACATAAGAGCAGAGATAGTGCAGAGGAAAAAAATGTATCTTAATTATGGGGTGTCCACTTTCTGTAACAGATTGTCATTCTAATTCACCCCTTCTTAATCAACCTGCCAGCTTGCTTGGGAAACAAACCAGCAGCTGCACACTCTGATCTCTGCTTATCAGGCATACAGGTGTCCTTGTTTGCATGTTGTAGTTATCCTGTGGTTCACCCTGGTGTCAGGGTTTGCACTGTAGGAATATAAAAAAATCCTCATTTCCCAGAAAGAAAATATCCTGTCTGCAGTCAAGAATTACTTCAGACTCAGATCAAAGGAATAGAAGTTGTTTTAGACTGGCATCCAGTCCAGCTGGGCAGCTGGTGCTGTTATGGCTGGGATGTTGCATTTTGAGGTACAGTGGAAGAAGAAAATCAGGTCCTATGGTTGTGTGTGGAGGAGAAGGTAACACTCCTTCTGAGCATCACCAAAATGTGTTGGGAGACTGAGACATGCATGTTAATATGGGGGATCAGTAAAAGAATAACCACAAGGAAACCATGGGTAAAGATAACAGGGATAACCCTTAGCTAAGCAAAGAGAAGTAACTATTTACTATAAAGGTCGTAGGAGCAGATACTACCTGGAAACGGAGATGAACCACCACGATCTAAAAGATTTTTAAAGACTCAGAACTTAACTTAGTCCAACCCACAGAAATAGCTCAGCAAATGTTTAAATTCAAGGATGGCAGCTGGACTACTGCTGTTCATAGGAGATCTATGAATCTCCTACATCTGTTAGAGAGGGGGAAAAAAAAGTATTGGTTAACTTGAAATAATAAGCCTAGATTTACACAAGCTCACCTAGAAAAAAAGATTGCCTCAAAATTAGAGACTTAAAGAGGTCATCATCTGAGATACAGTTGGAAAACCAACTTCCATTTGGTCTTGTTACAAGTGAATAGCATGTTTTGCCAGAGTTCCTATAAAGATGTTTTGGTTTAAGATACATTAGAGGTGACTAAATGAAATCTGCTCTCCTTTATTTGTCCTAGTTTGATTTTAAAAAATACAGTTAGCTTTTTTTATAGCAAATGAAATTATAAGTACTTGAAGAACAAAAAAATCAATTCATTTTCAAAAATAATTACAATAAAAAATTCTTAGTAAAAAAAACCAATGATCAAATATACCTTGAAGCATTACACGCAGCTAAATTAATACGTTTTTAAGGCATAAAATTAAAACTTCATAATCTGAGAGTCATTTACATGTTTGACAGACTTTTCTAATTTAATGGAAGTAATTATGAGTTTAGAAGAAAAAACCTCTTATATTTTCAAGGTCATAATCAATAAAACTTCTGTTATAAGTTACTCTGGTGCTTGGGTCCACCTTTTCTGAGCTCAGCTGAGCACTCTGCTGGAGGAAGTGAGATGCATGGGCACCTTCTGGACCATCTTCAGTAGGAAACACAGGTGACAAGGGGAGTGAATTAAAAATCTTTACTAAAGATCCCCTTGGAGGACAGAAGTTTGCCACATGGTGTAAGATGAAGAGAACAATGCCCAAGAAGTAACGTGCTTCTAAAAGTGCAAAAAAGAAGCAGACGTTGATTTCAACAGAAAAGCGAAGGGAACATAATGGGAAAAGAAGGTGCAGAGCAACAAATGGATTTTTAAACTATTTTGGAGACAGACAATAAAAAAGGCTTGATTCATACAAAGCTGATATCCTGGAAAAATGGAATCCTTTATCTAGATGAGGACTTCTGCTCTAAAATGAGGGTATTTAAGTTTCTACAGGAGAGTAGAGAATGAGGTCAACTTGGCATGTTCAGTAGCAATCTGTCTCGTAGGCAGACACTGCAGTTTGGAGAAAGCTATTCTGAACCTACTTTAGTTTAAAACTCAACTTTAATCCCCTTGTTTCTAAGGCAAGACCCAAAATGTCTTATTTCACTTCTAATCCAAACCCCAGAGCTGTTCAGCCACTATAAATGTGCTAGAAAAAGGCTGATTTGTATTCAGGTTTTCCTGCCTACCTGCCAATGTGGTTATAAAACATTCACATGCGCATACACACATGTACAGACACGCACTGTTTATACACAAGCATATGGGCTCTGTGTCTGTGCAGCTGTGCACACACACACACATCTCTCAGGAATACTCTATGTGCCTAACAATGCCTGTGCAGTTTGGCTTTTTAGTTCCTTAGCTACACCCTGAAAGCTATTTTTTCCTTATTTAAAATTTTAATTGGGATGTAAGTCCATAATTATAAGTGAGGTGTTGCTATAAAGTGATCTTTTGGGAATTTTTCACCGTCTTTTGATGACGTTTTCTTTGTATTATTTGATTAACTTGCAATTTTATTTGACTGGCAAATAAATATTTGCCTAAATCTGGAAAAAAAATGCATCTAATTTTATAATTGAAATCCATCATACATTCTGTGCATTTTCTTCACAAGTACAGTGACTTGCTGGAAATCACAAAAGGGATCCTGTATCAGGCCAAAACTAGAGCATACATGAAATCTGTCATGGTTGATAGTGAAAAGTTTGGTTCCAAAGGTTAAATATTGCTCGGCATGCCCTTGGTGGGAAGGAAGAAACAAAGAGAAGCAGAAAAATAATCTCTTCTCTTTGCTCAGTTCATAAAGTACCTGCATTTCCAGACTAGAAACTATGGAGAAAAATACTGGTTTTACTGAATATGTGATTTAACTGTAAGCAATATTAATGAAATACGGCAAAATGCTTTTGGGGGTTTTATTGTTTTTTATTTTGGGATAATGGAACAAAATGCTATTTGAACAGAATCGATGTGTTAAGGATGGCTTTCTCCCTTTCAGAATACATAGCCAAGCTCACAGATCCTCCCCTTGCATGTGCTGGGATAAACTTTAGAGAAAATGTAAGTACTTTTCTCATTAAAACCACTCTGTCTTCTGTAAATATAAATTTGTTTTAACAAAGGCTTCTTTCAGTAATATAAATAATGATAAAAATAATGGAGTTGCCAATGTTGACTTGGTTCAATATCTGGGACAAGTATCCCCTTAGGTAAAGCCAGTAAGCCTTATGAAGTTAGCTATTGCTTTATTCCATTTATTACCTGTGTCAGCATGCAGCCCACCTTCACACTTCAAACTGGTGATCCAACATCAGGCATTTCCTAGTGGTGTTTAAGTGCAAGGGATTTAGTTTGCTTTACTTAGCCTGTCAGAGTCTTCTACACGATTTCCTACCCTCAGCTGCTGAAAACCCTTCCATATGGCTTGGAGAATAAAATGTTATCTTTGTACTTCCCAATATGCCACTTGAGAATATCTTGGTTTAAAGTTGTAGCTTCTGAAGAAGATTGTTGATTTTATTTTTTCAAGGAAGGTTAACTTCTCTTAAAAGCTCTCTTTTTCTGGGGTGACATGCCCCCTTGACCACTGAGGATACAGCACCAAAATGAGACTGAATATGGCTCAGGTAAGGGTGATTTGTTCCTAAATTTTCCATCTACTTTCCTTTTTCTGATTCAGGCCTAGGGGAATTTATTTTCTAAAGCTTAAGGCAAACAGGTGTTTTGCATTCAGCATGGGTTTGGGCAGGGTTCTGAGACTCTTTCTAGCTAGTAATTAACAGGAACAAATCCGTTCCTTCAGGGGAAGGTTTAATAGGTGAGCCACTCTATGGAGCACCAGCTCCCAGTCTCATGACAGAAAAAAGCCTGAGAGAATTTGGTTTTCTCATCCTAGAAAAGAGAAGGCTTAGGAATGACCTAATTGAGGCCTTCCAGCAACTGAAGGGAGCCCTCAGGAAAGATGGAGAGAGGGCCTGGAGTGACAGGAGAAGGGGGAATGGCTTCAAATTGACAGAGAATGGGTTTTTAGGTTTAGATTAGAGACTAAGTAAAAAATACTGTGAAAATAGCAAGTCATTGGCACAGGTTGCTCAGAGAAGATGTGGATGCCCCATTCCTGAATATGTTCAAGGCCAGGTTAGCTGGGCTTCTGAGCAACCTGGTCTAGTGGCCTATGGCAGGGGGGTTGGAATGAGATGATCTTTAGGGTCTCTTCCAACCCAAACCATTCTGTGAGTCTGTGAAACATTGTTTGGTTCCCCCTCCATGCAGCTCTCCTCCTGAGAGAAAGGACAAGTGTTTCAGGCCAGTGAGGTTATCTGTAATCTCCTTCCTTGTGATAACATTGATGGATCACCACCCAATGGTCATGGTGGGGTTTTTATGGCAGAATTATTATGCCAGAGAATCGCTGTGAGCAGGAGCCACCACGATTGCATCAGTACTCTTCCTTTGTTCTGCTTAACTCCAGGCTCACCACATGATATATTTTAGAAACCATACTTCAATGGGAATCACAAATGGGTGGCAAATGACTGTGATTATTCTGTGGTAATCATTAAATTCTTAGCCATAAAGGAAGTGGTGAGACAATGAGATATTTTCAAAGAAAGTATGTGGATGCACAGTCCTGTGAAACATGCTAAAAGGAATATTCAGCCAAAAACCAGGGTTTGATTTAATAAACTCGTGCATGATTTGCAGGCAAAACTTCTGCTCCCTAAACGTGCAAGAACAGAATGTCTACAGACATTATCAGGCTTCAAAAAGTGAAAGGTTTAAGACAATGCCAGCAGGGACTGTGTTTATCATGGTATTTTTTTATTTTTTTTAAATTTTTTTTTCCCAAAAGTTACAAGCCTTAATGTGCATCCTGTGCAGGTTTGAAGCAGAGGATAAATTTGGTTAAAGTGACACTTTCTCAATTCTATTACAGCAGCAAAAAACCTGAAATTAAAGTGGGCTTGCAATTATTTCATTTGGCACTCAAGGTGGAATATTTTATTACAATTTCAATTATACTTTAAAGTTTAAAAGACTGTTAAAATATGCTAATTGAGACATTCAGGATGACAAAATTTTCAATTGTGAAATCTGTTCTTTCTTTGAAAGCTACTTAGAGTAAAGCAATATTTGGTTTCTCCTGATGTGGCTTTAGATAATTCATATCAAATGCTAAATTAAATGTCAATAATCCTTAAGGAGCCTATTTTAGTCACACTTTTTTAATCAAGGTTTCCAAAGTGATCTTAAGGTCCATTTGTTCCCAGAATATAATGAGAATTGTACAATTCTCATGCATTGCCAGGCAGTGCTCAAACACAGGTGTTAAATTTATGCTTATTTAAGCTACATTTTAAATGTTTCATATGAAAGTTTTTATTCCAACAAAGCTATGGAAGAAATAACAGACTGCTAGCCAATGGATTTCTAGTTGCAGCTTTCAGAAAAACAAAGAAAACCTCATGAAAAACACCTTTCAAGCTAAAAAACAATCACCATATTTAAAAACTATATATTTAAAAATATTTTCTACCAAAATGTCAGAAAGGTAAATGCAGATTGTATTATGAAAAATGTAAATCACTTAATGATCAATGTTTTAAGCAGAATATCCCTATCAGATGATGATTCATTAGGGTTGTCTTAGTGAAGGAGGTTATTGATAATTTGATACCTCATATCCACTATCCTAATCATTATTGTCAGAAAGTCTATTAAAGACCATAGGTCATGGCTCTAAAATTAAGTATGCCACAAAAAAAATATTGAGCAAAGGAAAAGGACAGACATTCTTATAGATTAAGATTCACACTGAAATGAATTCTAGCAATTAATTTTGCTAAATTATTATTTGATAAAATAAAGCTACAGTCTCCAGTGAAACATTCCTCATTTAAAATGAACCAGAGGTAGAAGTTGAAATACTAAAACACATGAATATAAGTTGGAATATAAAACCACAAATCTGACCTGCTTTTTTTATCCTGCTGTACATAAATCTGCCTTCAAAATGTATTTCTATTACAGATTATATGCTGGAGTATTCAACACAGTAATAAGATATGTTGTTAGGCTTTTTGGTTATTTTTTCTTTTGTTCTGGACGCATTCTACTTTTTGGACAACTCCACTCATTTTTGTCAGTATTCTGCTAAATGAGAAGTTGAGAAGTACATGAGTTGCTGTGCTCATATACCTCACTTAATCAAACACACAGTTAACATAAACTAGATTAAAGGCAAATCTAAAAATACAGTAGTACCATTTTCTTTCAAACAAAATAAAACATAGAAACAGTACCAGTAAGATGTCTTTTGGTGTCTATTAAGATTGAGATGGTGAAGAAAGGAAAATCATAATTCCAATCTAAAATTGGATCACACTTGTAATCTTTATATTTCAACCATTAACACTTAAAAACCCCCTTAGACTGGGACTCAAACTCAGAGCATATCATTTTCCGCAAGCTGAATTCACAGAGGACAACTTTTTCTACCAGTGCTGCTATGATGACTTTTTTACTGGGATTGTCTACAGATTCCTTTTGGCTCTGAGCCTCCTCTCCACTGTTCTCCTGTTTCCTAACTTCAACATTCAGAAGGACACTGGAGTCCTCCTCCCCTTCACCAGTGGCTGTCTCCTTTGGAAAAGCCTGGATGAGACGTGTTCAGAGAGAGCAAGGACACTAAGCCAGGCTTGGCCAGGCTGTGACCAGTGTGCCCCTCCTGAGGCTGAGGGACCAGCTGGGGAGGTGACACAGCACCACCCTGCCACTTTCACATGACAGCCCTGAGCTTCTACATGAGCTTCTACATACAGATTACAGATGTCACACAGGCTCATGGCTGGCATTAAAGACAGCAGCTGCTGTCTGAGTGCAGGCATGAACTAATTTAGTCTTTGAAGTGAGCTGTGACAAGCTTCAAACAGAGAAGAGGCTTAACCACAAAAATTCAAATAAGATCTAGTGTATTGCAGCATACAACTGTCCAAAATGTGTCACAGCTCTCTGGCTTTCTGTTTGGTGAAAGGAAATAGCCCAAGCTCCTGACAAAACCCATCAGCAAAGGTGATGGGAGCTGTGATGCAGGAGCAGAAGCACAGGGAGATTCAAACACATGCTGAAGAAAGAGCTGGAGAAGCTAAGCAATGAGGAAACCAGCATTTGCCCTTTGAGTAACAGTGATGAAATGCAGTCTAGGTGACTGGACTCACATCTTGGGGGCTGACATGGCACCTCCAACTTGTGTGACTCGGTACTGGTGTCACCAGGTGCCACAGTTCAGGCTCCTGTTGCTATCACCATTTGGCTGAGGAGATACAGGTTATGAGATCAGGAAATTTCCATTTCCCAGAGTCAGAGGTCTGGGTGCTACCAGGTGGTGATGGCAGGAGCTGAACTGCACAGACACAGTGGATCTGGGGCATGTCACAGACCCACAGAGCAGTGTTCAGCTGAGGTGGGACCTACATGTGCAAGTCACGCAATGTAGAACAGTTTTTTTTCTCCTACTAATGAGATTTAGAAACACTTTAGAAACTAGGCTGGTGTCTTCTGCTTCCTTCTACAAAGGTTTATATTTTTCAAGAGGATGGTTGCCTCCAACATTGAATCAGGAATGCCAGTTGTAATTAAAGACTTGGGAAAAACAATACATTTAATGGCTTATTCAGGTTGACAAGTGTTGTCCTACCTTAGGAATGTCTATGAGCCTAATAGGTACAGCTTTCCATTTAGATTTCCTTGCTGCATCATCTGATATTAGCTTTCTTCTTGCAGATTTTTGAGACCTATGTTTAAGATAAGCGCTTGGTAAACTTGTATTGAAATCATAATAAAATGTCACACTGATTTATTCACTGGGAATATTTTGCCAGCTTCTTGTATTAATTCCCCTCAAAGCTAATTTAGATGCTTGTTGTCTGTGTATTCCACATCTGTCTGTAGTAATAATTGTGCAAGCGTCTGAACAAATTAAGACATTTCACAACACTTAAACATCCCAAAGATCTTACATTTTCTTTGAAAGTGGAGAGGTTGTACTATAATTTATGGACATTTTCCCATTAATCTCTGAACTGTTTTGGCAGCTACTGCCTAAAAGCAGCAGCTACCTGGCAAGGACAGAAGATCTGTCAGGCCATGAAGGGTGCCTGCATTCACTGGAGAGATAAATGGGAACACTGAAATAGAGTTAAGCCCAGAGAAGGAAGCTCATCCTCAGACAGACTTGCCAAGCCTGTTTCATTATAGCTTATAGCTTTCTTTGTGGCTTAGGGAATGCTGTTAAGTATTCTGTCAAAGTAAGCTTACTTCTCCAGACAAGCAGCTCTGCAAAGCCCTAAGGTGCCACTGCTAATACTTGAACTTGTTTACAGTGGTGTTTTTTGGATAAGGCTTACAGGTACTGTAATAAAAAGTTCAGAATTTCTTAATATGTGTTTCCTTAACCAAAACATCTGGGAATGTTTTTAATTTTTACCTTTTCTGTCCAGCTGTAACGAAAAGACAGATTATTACTTAAGGTCTGTCATTCATAAAGAAATGTTCTTTCCTCGTACTTTGAGGGCAGAAAAGTGTCTTTCAAGTTCCTGTAATTGTTATGATGTTACTCTATAGAATCTTAATTCATATTCATCACTGGGGACACAGACCATGGAAGGCTTTCTGCAACTTAGGCTGCAACTTTCTAAAGGTCTAGAACACACGATTATGGAGTTTAAGTTTCTTTGAGAAGAAAAACCAAAAATCAAGTTGAGAAAACTGAGTTAAAATATAATTTAAAATTTTGTGTGCCTGCTTATTTAAAATATTATGTTATGTTCTTCTCTAGTCACTTAAAATATGTTGTATTCTTTAACTAATTGCTCTTCAAGCCAGAAGATTCAATCAATCTTAGAATAATTAGGGAAAAATAATCAGTTGAAATAATGAAGCTTAAAAGTTAAAGGAAACTCAAATATTTTCTTAGAGAGAAAAGAGAAAAATCAATACAGAAACCATGGCTATTTAAAGTTGTGTATTATAGGTTTTCTTTTTTTAAAAAATTATTAAAATTTGACATTAAATGAGGAAACTTTACAATTTTATTATACTTTTGCTGAGAACTGACTTAAGAACATTCAATTATAATTCAACAGAAGACAACATAACACCTGCAAAGCAGCTTCAAGATGTCTTGTATCATTCTGGATAGATTTATTTAGTCCTAATGGGAGCTAAGGAAGCAGATTTTCCATTGTTTTTTGCTAATCGTATAAAAATGATTTATAATCAAGTGAAAATAAGATCACAGTTTCTACACTGGTGTCTTTTCCACTGTGCAAATTTAACAGTGGTATTTTCCCAAACATAGTTAAGCAGGCTCTAAATGTAATACTTTGCACTGAGAACAGCTGCTTTAAGAGACTCTTTCCCATACTCATGTATTTGCAACCCATATGCTTAAGTGGATTTCATGTAGCAACTGTATTAATGGACTTAGTTACTAAACATTTGTGGATCATGTAACTGTTATGTCATTATATGCTAAATGGAGCTTAGTTGTAAGCCTCAGATCTTTAATCCAAGATCAACTCTTCCAGCTCCACAGAGGTGTTATTTGCATTATTTTCCATTTAGATCAGCCTGTGATCTGACTACAAAGTTAACTAGCCTTTGCCCTTAATTATTCTCCCCCCTCACTTCCAAGCAATTTTGGAACCTTTTCTCAGTCACCACGAGAGAGTGAAAATTTTGTTTCTTTTTGCACATTCAGCAGCAATATCTACTAATGGGTAGGCCCAGTACTGCCTTTTCACTAACACAAGTAACAGTAATGGGGCCTTTTGAACTGATGAAGCAGAGAAGGAACTAGTTGACCCAAGAAACCACTTTCACCTCTAATTTCTATGGGAAAAAAAATACAAAAAGCTCACTGACCTCATTTGCAATGTTTGCTGTCAAACAGTGGTCCTGTTATGAGGTTATTGAAGAAAATATTGAGATGCATTGCAATATTGCTTCGAAAATTATCCAATAAGCACTTTGCATTTGCAAGCTCTATAGAACTTTACACTGTATGGAAGCATTTGTATTTAAACTGTTCATTCAAATAGGATTTATGAACATAATGAGTGTTTTGAAATCCATTATAAAAATCATTCTCATTGTGTACTGTGTAGTAACCTGAGACCTACCAAAATCAAGCACATGCTACTACCTAAAGCAATCATAAAAAAGTATAGAATACGACTCAAGCTTATTTTAGTCAGTATTTTGTGTATTAAAAATAAAAAAAAAGAACCCTATATGGATCAAACAACGGTCCTCAAAAGAAAAAATAAAAAAGCAATCATTTAATTGCATCCCATGAGAGGAAATTGGGCCAAAATTGATCTGGATAGCCAAATTTATTATTACATGAAGTGAATGTACAATGAAATTTGATTACAGCAAGTGTGCCATCATTCCCTTTTGCAAGATTGAGCACAGAACAGCACAGCCTTGATGAAAGGAATCGATAGCATTGAAAGCAAAATTGGAGGGCTGTCAAATCATCTTAATTCCTATTTTCTGAATGAGTGCAGTGAGATTGCTTGATGCACATGCTAATAACCAAATTAGTGTGCTTTTGAGTCAGTACAGAGCCAAGCCTCTATAAAACTTAAATAATTTTGCTGAAAGGAAGAAAAGATCTCTCAAACACACATGAAACAGAAATATCATAAGATACAGGTTGCACTTTGAAATTGTAATTAACAGAGCTGCATTTTTCTCAATTTTGGAGACATGAGGATGTGTAAACTGCATCTTCACATCTGTTAATAGACATGTTGACCAGTAATCTTCCTTCTCCCATGACTGGAAATATCATCTATCCAACAGGCACACACACATATAAACACAACATGGATAGCAAGAATCGACCTGTGGGGCTCTTTGAAGTCCATCACTCAGAAGTGCACAATACAGAATTTCTTTGAGATATCTCACATGAAATTTCCTCAGAAAGGTTTTGAGGGTGTTTTCAAGGTCAGCTGAAGCTATCCTAAAACTGAATTGACTTCAAATCCTACCTCCTCACATCCCCCTGACATTTCCTCTCAACCTCCTTTATGCAAAGCACGGCAGCTGTAGATGTGGCCAGGAGGTGTGGAGACAAGGAGGCAAGGTGACAAGGTGATAACGGTGGTGTCACCCACCACACCTAGGGAAAAATTCAAGATACACTCATAAATCTACAGATTCTTCAGCAGCAACCTGAGTTCCATTTTGATTATATTTGTATTGTTTTTAACAGCTTTCCAGTGCCTCCCCTAGCAGATGTTCCTCTTCACACCCTGTGCATGCAGGACCCTCCTGAAGATCAGCCTGGGGAAGCTCAGAAGTACAGATTAATGATGTTCAAACTTTCCTCTGACCTTCTTAAAGGCACATTTGAAATTATATGTTTCTCATTCCAGCTTTGGGTAGTGCTATATTTTCACAAGTACAATATTGAGAAATATATTCTTTAAGTGTAAAAAAGAATCTGTGGTTGCAGCACAGAGAAGAGTCAAGGCAAAACCTGGGAAAGAGCATCTCAGCAGGAAGTCTCTGCATCTCTCCTGGCCTTAGAACATGAACATCAGAACTGTCCCCCACCCTTAAACAAACAAATAAATCATAGTGTTACAAGGGCACAGCAGTAAAGGGCAATTTTTAGGTACTCTGCTTATATAATTAGTAAAAAGGTTGCAGATAAACTGATGGTTGAGGACAATGACTCAGTCTCATTTAGGACTTTGGTAACTGGTGGATCCAGGAATATGGTGGATTGAGCAATGTCATGCTCTATGTTCAAGCCAGACCTTGAAGAATGTGAGGCTAAAAGTAATTTTATTACTCTATCATAAATAGCTAATACAGAAACAACTCACATTGAACTTAGTAAGTAGGTTTAAAACAGAAGACATTTTATATTAGACCATAAGACAGCAAAAGGACTTTTTACTTACAGTTGCAGAAGACAATAAGGACTCTCAATTTTCCATTTTTTCCTCAGAAATATTACTGAAGAGCTATAATCAAATCTAAGATCTTTAACTGCATGTGTTTTGTATTTTTGCTATTTCTTTTACTGTTTTATTTTTTTTATCTGAACTTGGGGAGAACATACTGATGGACTTACACACACAATATCTCTTAATTAAGACATAGGCTCTTGTGGAATTAGAAAAAAACCAACAACATCTATCTACCCATAGGACAGAGGAGTAAGGTAAGAGCATTGAGCATAACACTACAACACAGGTGGACAAGACACACAGCTTTTCTCATGCTGAATCCAGTAAATGGATGGATTATATTGTAATTTATGAAACAACGCTGCTGCACTGCAACCTGGAAAGTTATAAAAAATATATGGAGCACCTTCAGCTTTAACATTTGGAGTTGGACACAAGTACAATGTCCTTGGTGGTTATTGTGAGCCAGGCACTTGTTTTTAATCTGTGGTTCCTCTATAATAATAAGTTGCTGGGAATGGATAATAATATGGAGCATTAGTTTAAGAGTCTGTCAACTGACTGAACATGTTTGGATTCTTAGGCTGTCAGGAACTAAAGCAATGTATTTATTATTTATTTTAAAAGAAGACATGGAAGCAAGCAGCCTGACATTTTTTGCATTTAAAATACAGCAATGTACTTCTGACCTGTTCAGCTACCTCCACGTGGGTGTCTAGTGAGAACACCAACTTGTCAACCATGATGAGTTCAGGATGAACTTTGTACTCATTTTTATACGTACAAGGAAATTATCCCGTACAACGTTACGCACTTGCATTCCAACTTGTGCAATTCCTTTCTTAACAACGTTATCAAATGCTGATGATAAATATATAAACCTGCACCAAAACAAGTTCTGCATTTCACTTGCAGTTCTACAGAAGAAGATATTTCTTTGTCTCATTGCTTGGTGCCGATACAGTACAAATTGTTCCTCCAAAGACTAAGGGTGATGACAGTCCAAGTATGAGCCATTAATAACCACTGTTGGTGACACAGGTTCTTTGAGTATATGAGAAGGTTCTAACCAGCCCCCAAGCTGCCAGAATCTGGGGTTTCACTGTCTTCTCATGGATCAAGCAATTCCATCCAGAATTTACAGAGTAGCTAGGAAAACATTTTTTATACCACAACAAAAAAAACCAAACAAACAAACCAAACAAAAACAAAAACAAAAAAGCCACTCCAGAATAATTCTAAAAGTTCCTTGAGTAAAGGTCTTTTGGTAACCAAATTGTCCCAGAGGATCAGAACTTAAATCTACTAGAAAGCTCATGTGACAAGAAGATAGTACTTTACCTGCTGGTCATAGCAAATATACCTGGTGAGCTATTTAAAACACAACATCTCTACTTGGATACTCTGGTTAATGAAACTATGGAAGCTACTCTTACAAAACAGCTCCCTATCTCACTATATCAAGTTTATCATTAAGAGAATTATATTAAGAATTTACTATTATATTAAGAATTTATCATGATCATTAGCTGACATCTGTTAGGCTTCTGTGTCATTTATTAAGACAATTTTTAATTTAATGTTTCTATTTGTCAGTACCTTTTTTACAATGAAGTTGTACAAGTATTTAGACATATGAGCAGATAACTTCTAACTACAATGATGTTCTTTTGCTCCCTAAAGTTCTGTTATAAATTACTTTTGCCAGTGTTGTCATTAATTGCATTAGACACATGAAGTCATTCAGAATCTTCATTAATTAAATTATAAAGTACTTCTCTAAACTCTAGTTTTAGAACATTTCAAATGAAAGCGATGGGGGGAGCTGTTTCTTTTGTACAAAGTCAAATTTTAATCTTGTGGTCAAACCTTCAAACAGATCAGTGCTTGCATCTCTTGCAAAAGCTGAAATGAAGGGCTGCCTTTTAGTAACCACAGATGGTACAGAAGAGATGCACACTAATTATATGAATGTTTGCTGCAGCAGACCATTACTGGTGCCTGTAGAAGCAGTGATGTTCACAATAGGTCTCAACACATACTCAAGGTATTAATATCCATACTTGCATATCAGCAATGGCAAACAGAAGTATTTCCTCTTACTAGATCATGAGATGTAGCTTGGGCTCAGTAAAAGGAAAATCACTGAAAGACTGAAAATAAAAGATACAGGTAACAGAGGTTGTAGAACCCCTGTCCAATTCAGTGATGTTCTGCTGTTCTGCCGGTCAGTCAGAAATAGAAATACTATGAATTTTTGCAAGCTCACTGAGTTCTCATCCACAAGCTGCACAGAACATTGTGAGAACCCTAAGGAAAAGGTTAATTTTCCTCAGGTAGATTGGAGGAGAATCTCAGCGAAGCCTGCAGTGATTCGCAGGGTGCTGTTTTCTGTGGTAGCAGAGATGCAAGAGTTAAGTTTCACCTCATGGCCTTGTGTTTTTGAAATGTTATACTTTTTCTGTGGTTGTGCTACAAACCATGCTTGTGCTTACATGGCTTCAGGAATGCTCACAGTGCTCTGATTTATCTTCTTTTTCCCTGAAAAGGTAGAATGACTCAGTCCAGTTTGACTAGCTGTGGTGATAATCTTCTGTAATACTATGCCTGAGTGAAGCAGCAATCCCTCTCTGAGGATGGAAGAAATTGCTCCCTCTGAGTTCTGATACCTAATAATTTGTTCAGCTGTATTTTCTAACTTGCATATGACAACTGATTTTTTTTAGAGTAGCTACCTATTCTTTTGTTAATTTGCAGGTTTTGTAGTCACTTTACCTGTTTTGCTATACAGACAAAAACTTTGACATTCAACTACATTTTTCTTAGCACCTCCTCTAATTTCTGAGCTGGGAACAAGGCTCTGCCTTGCATATCAGTGTGGAGAATGATGTCAAACTTGTGTTCGGTTGTAGATTCTTTTCTTGTCTTATAAAACTCTTTAATTGTGGGCATATAATTAAAACAAAACAAAACAACAAAAAACCCATTTATTCACAAAGTTACAGAGTACACCTTAGGCTTACTCAAAATTTAGAAAAATATGCAGAGAATTACAGACTTAGAAGAAACTCCCTCATTTCCAATCAAGCACACACAGATAGGAAACAAGCACTGGGCATTTAACAACAGAAGCACAGGAAGGTTGGAGCATGGCAGCAGCTACAGGTTGAGCAAAAACAATTCCTAGATCAGGATTTCTGATTCTCTTTCTTACAGAGCATCCAAGCAGCACTTTCAGTTATCCAGAGCCAATAATAGACACTAGTGCATATTGTGTTTAAGCAACTGGAGTTTGCAGTTCTAAGGGTCAGGCAAAAACTAAAGTCAGGACTCTGAATTTCAGGAAAGGAAACTTCCAGCTCTTCAAGGAGTTAGACAGTGTGATCCCCTGGGAAACATCCTTCAGGGACTACAGAGCAGAACAGAGATAGAAAAAACTTTAAGGCATCTTTCACAGAGTTCAAGAGCTCTCAATTCCCTGGTGTAAGAAATCAGGCAAGGAAGATGAGACTGGCATAGATGAGTCAAAACCTGCTGGAGAAACTAAAGGGCAAAAAGGAAGTGCACAGGAACACCATAGGAACAGTTCAGGGGCACAGCCCAGTTGTGTAAGAACGGGATCAGGAAAGTATGGATGGAGCTGAATTTGGCAAAAGATGCAAATAGTGATAGAAAGGGCTTCTATGAGGGTGTAAGCCAGAAAGGGAAGGTCAGAGAATGTGTACCCTGGGGATGAGGAAGTCAGGCAAACTGGTAAATATAGAGGAGGACAAGACTGAGTTATTCAACTATTTTTTTCCCCTCAATCTTCACTGTCAACCATCCATTTTAAAAATACCATTCAGAGGAAGTCCCCATTGATTAGAAAAATGAAAATGTTGCACCCATTTTAAAAAAGGGTTAAAAAAGAAGACCCTGGCAAATACTGTTTTCTCAGCCTCACCTCTATGCCCAAGATTGTGGAACAGATCCTGTTACAAGCTGTGCTGAGGCACATGGAGGATAAGGAAGGGATTAAAGACAGTTTAACAGGATGCTTTTTATCAAGGGCAAGTTGCACCTGACCAATCCAGTGGGTTTCTTTGATTCCTGCCTCAGTGGACAGAGGAAGAGCTATGAATGTCCTATATCTGTACTTCTATAAAGCCTTTGGCAGAGTCCTCCTCAACATCTAAATTCGAGCGACGCGGATTCGATGGGTGAACTGTTTGGTGGAGTGGAACTGAATTGTTGGGATTGTTGCATCCAGAAGATAGTGATGATTGGCTCAATGTCTAGATGGAGATGGGTAACAAGTGGTGACCCTCAGAGGCCCAAACTGGGACCAGTACTCTTTAGTGTGTTTGTCAGTGCCATAGAGATGGGGTGAAGAGCTCTCAGCAAGTTTTCAGGCACTGTGAAGCTGAGCAACACAGTTGACATGGCAGGGATGAGATGCCATCCAGAGGGACATGGAGAAGCTCTAGAAGTGGGTG